GTGTCCCAGCCCACTTTTGTCTGTTCTGGCTCCTTCCGTTACTATAAAACAAATAAACATCCAACAGGGAGTCCTCATAATGGGCACAACAAGTGTGCAGACCCTGGAAATCAGAGATCTCACCTATAGAATCCCAGAGAGAGAGAAGAGACTGTCAAGTGGTTATCAGCAGAGCTCAGACTGTAGGATAGAGAAACAGCACAAGGAGCCAATTAGTTGTGCCGAAGTTCCAGTTGCATATTGATAGAAGGAGAGAACTGAGCGACAGAGAGAGGAGCTCATCAGTGTGCTGGTTCTCCTTTCTCTAGGGCAATGGTCTCCAAACTGCAGCCTGGGGGCCAAATGTGGTCTTTTGCTTTCTTTTATCTGGCCCTTGGAGCACTGATCCATACATTGACACCAATAATAGGGAATAATTCCTCCCACTGATCCAGCAAAGGGGCACAATTGTTCCCAATGACACCAATGATTGGGCACAATTCCTCCCACTGACACCAATGATGGGGCACTATTCCTTCCACTGACACCAATGATGGGACACTATTCCTCCCACTGATACCAATGATGGGGCACTATTCCTCCCACTGACACCAATGATGGGGCACTATGCCTCCCACTGACACCAATGATGGGGCACTATTCCTACCACTGATACCAATGATGGGGCACTATTCCTCCCACTGATACCAATGATGGGGCGCTATTCCTCCCACTGATACCAATGATGGGGCACTATTCCTCCCACTGATACCAATGATGGGGCACTATTCTTCCCACTGATACCAATGATGGGGCACTATTCCTCCCACTGATACCAATGATGGGGCACTATTCCTCCCACTGACACCAATGATGGGACACTATTCCTCCCACTGACACCAATGATGGGGCACTATTCCCCCCACTGATACCAATGATGGGGCACTATTTCTCCCACTGACACCAATGATGGGGCACAATTCCTCCCACTGACAGCAACGATGGGGCACTATTCCTCCCACTGATACCAATGATGGGGCACAATTCCTCCCACTGACAGCAACGATGGGGCACTAATAAATCCACTGATACCGACAATGGAGCACTATTCTTAGATTGTAAGCTCCCAGGATCAGGGCCCTCCTATCCCTCTTGTATTGAACTGTATTGTTGCTGTATTGTCTCCCTTTATATTGTAAAGCGCTGAGCAAACTGTTGGCGCTCTATAAATCCTGTATAATAATAATAATATTCCTCCCACTGACCCTGACAAAGGGGCACAATTGTTCTCAATGACACCAACAATGGGGCATATTTCTTCCCAATGACACCACTGACGGGACACAATTCCTCCCACTAACACCAACAACGGGACACCATTGAATCCACTGACACTAACAATGGAACACTATTCCTCCCACTGACACCAACAAAAGGGGCACAATTGTTCTCAATGACCCCAGCGATGGGCCACAATTCTTCCCAATGACACCAAAGATGGGGAATTCTTTGCTCCCACTTATGCCAAGATGTTTTCTACTCCCATTGGCCCCCCCTAAAGTCTGAAGGAAAGTAAACTGGCCCTTCGCTTAGAAAGTTTGGAGAGCCCTGGTGTAGGGGAAGGGAAGCTTGGAAATGCAGTAGAGGAAAATCAGGTCACCTGACCTGCCAGAAAGGACTGTGCTGTGTGGCACAGCTGTTTGAATCTAATTACTGGATGGACAGAAATGGTGGTCCGTAACAGTAAAGAAAAGGACAATAAAATGTCACAGTTTAAAAGAACAAGATGGCGTCCATCAGTTTGCAAACCCAGAACAAGCTTGGAGGTCAGAAGAGACTTTTGATAAGAAAATAATACACATTGGACACAATCTTATTAATGTCTTTTTTCCAGCGGTCGGGAAGACGCAGCGCGGACAAGCGATGCATAAACAACCCCGTAAGATTTGTCTGTTGAGACGTGATGTAAAGCTGCAATGTGTTCAATTTTCTGAGTAATATCAGGTATTCGGAAACTTTTATTTCCCGGTCATAAATATGAATTTTTTTTGAAGAATATTGCCTGTTGTTTCTGTTTGTTCCTCGGATACGTGGAAATGATTTTTCGCTTTGGAAATTTAGCGCGGCAGACGGAGCGGGCTCTTACTTCAATTCCGCTCGTCTCTTTGATTTAGGTTTTTTGGATTGCTGATTTTGTAAATAGACGGCCTGAAAGGCTTCACTTTCACTACTTCAGATGTGTATTTTTCCATTTAAAAGGACGGCCGGTGTTGTTTGTTTGCTCCCCCCCTTCGCTGTCAAGGCTCGGATCGCTTTCATTTCGTGTTTCTCTTTAGATCGTTGGTTGGTGTGAAGGAAAATTTTTCAAGATTGTTTAATAAAGGAAAGTCTAAAGTCTGTATATAGAGTGCAGGAAAAGCAGGCAACCAATGGGAAATTATCACTGTAACTTGTATTGGAGAGGTATTGTCAGGGTCCTGTCCACGGCAGAAGTTCTGGAAGATCTGGCATTTCTGCCAATACTCGGCATGGCCGCAGAAGCACACATCAGTCTCAGTTTGGTGCCAGATGGCCTTTATAAGGAGGCTCATCCCTTCCTCAAGTTGCTGGATGATCTCTAGCTCCCCGTGCCCTGTTCCTGTTTCCTGTGATTTTGACCTGTGATTTCCTGTTACCGCCTCGGCTTGCTCCTGGACCTGTCTACTCTGCATTACCCCTGATCGTACCTCGGCTTGGCTTACGGATACTCTCTCTCTCTCACTCCTCTGTGTATGGAGGTGGCTATCCCATCCGATTACGTCTGCTCTGATTCCCACCTGGTACCCGAGCTTGGCTTGAACCGACTACCCAGTAAACATCTAGATCCTGGAAGGGCTTGCATACCACGCACCGGCACCTCCTGTCTGCAGACCTATCTCCGTGCACCAGCTCTACTTCTGAGTGGACCACCAACCAGCACTTCTACAGGCGACTTGTGCAACTTTGGGCCTGACTCCAGCTGTCCCACTCTAAGGGGAGTCCAAGACTTAGCCGCAAGGGAAGCCCTCTCTCCATTGGCCTCCATCACCAGGTACGTGATAGGTATGTCCATTACTGACCTTTCCCACTAAAAAAATTCTGGTTCTCTGGCTATCTTGCTGATCCAATTTCTTTGGTATTTTCTTGGCCTGGAACAAGTGTGGACTGATCTGCTGTTAGAAACCACGAGTCCCCATACACCCAACCTGACACCCTCAAAAAAACCCCCAGTTTACTATGCTTCAGTTACGAATTAACACAGTGAGTGACTAGAACTGATCATTCATTGTAATCATTCAGGAAAGAAAGGGGCTGGTAAATGTGACATATTTACCGGACCCTTACCCCGCTCTCCATCCTGAAGGATCCTATTGTGTGCTTGCAGCTGCCGGTGTAGAGGAAAGGAGGGAAGCCAGTCAGCACTGCGGAGATGGGAGAACACTGGGGGGCCTGGGCAGCAGTGGAGAACGTATAGTGCACAGGGAGGGTGATGGGTGCATCATGGGTGGCAATTACTGGAACCGATCCCCTGTATGGCTCTCTCTGCAGCAGCTGAAATCCATCAGGAGGGAGAGAAGAAGCCAGCTGTCAACTGCAGAGAGAGCCATACAGGGGATCGGTTCCAGTAATTGCACTTCTGCTGCATCCATCACCATCCCTGCCCACATATGATTCACCCAGGTGCCTGGGCCCCCCTGCTGCTACAGGAAGAATCGTAGTACCCCCTTACCCACGGTCCTGGATATTAATAGAGGTAACCATCCCAAAATTATCTGCTTGTTCCATGGTGTTTTTTTATGGTGTTTTTTTTTATAGTACAGAAGCCAAAGGAAAACTTTGGAAATCTTTTATGTTTATTTAGCCCTTCCAAAACAGTAAACAGTGAACGTCCAGCATTGAGATTCACAGTTCTAGCTGGAGTACACTGATTATAGCTCACTTATCACCTCGTCCATTGGGAAAACATCTTGCATTCTTTTCATAGGATACAAGACGTTCTGTGATTGGAGGGGGGATTATGACATTTATCTGCATCTCCTCCTTGCATTCTAGAAAAAGAATACAATATGGTTCTTCGGTGGCTGAGGTGCTGAACAAGGGACCCACTATGATCACTGTGAGTCTCAGTGCCGGATGTTTAGCACTTACTGTATCTTATGGGCTAAATCAGCCTTTCACAAACTGGGTTCCGTGGAAATCTAGGGTTCCTCCTGAGGTTGCCAGTGGTTCCATGAGTAACGAGGAACTTCTTCCTTTTGGACAGTGGTCTCCAAGCTACGGCCCATGGCCCAGATGTGGCCTTTGTTTGCCTTTATTTGGCACTTGAAACACTATTCTTCCTACTAACACCAACAGTAAGGCACTATTCCTTCCACTGACACCAATGACGGGACATTATTTCTTCCACTGACACCAATGATGGGGCACTATTCCTCCCACTGACACCAATGATGGGGCACTATTCCTCCCACTGACACCAATGATGGGGCACTATTCCTCCCACTGACACCAATGATGGGGCACTATTCCTCCCACTGACACCAATGATGGGGCACTATTCCTCCCAGTGATACCAATGATGGGGCACTATTCCTCCCACTGACACCAATGACGGGACATTATTTCTTCCACTGACACCAATGATGGGGCACTATTCCTCCCACTGACACCAATGATGGGGCACTATTCCTCCCACTGACACCAATGATGGGGCACTATTCCTCCCACTGACACCAATGATGGGGCACTATTCCTCCCACTGACACCAATGATGGGGCACTATTCCTCCCATTGACACCAATGATGGGGCACTATTCCTCCCACTGACACCAATGATGGGGCACTATTCCTCCCACTGACACCAATGATGGGGCACTATTCCTCCCACTGATACCAATGATGGGGCACTATTCCTCCCACTGACACCAATGATGGGGCACTATTCCTCCCACTGACACCAATGATGGGGCACTATTCCTCCCACTGACACCAATGATGGGGCACTATTCCTCTCACTGACACCAATGATGGGGCACTATTCCTCCACTGACACCAATGATGGGGCACTATTCCTCCCACTGACACCAATGATGGGGCACTATTCCTCCTACTGATACCAATGATGGGGCACTATTCCTCCACTAACACCAACAATGGGACACTATTCCTCCCACTGACACCAATGATGGGGCACTATTCCTCCCACTGACACCAATGATGGGGCACTATTCCTCCACTAACACCAACAATGGGACACTATGACTCTCACCATTACCAGGGATGTGGCATTATTCCTCCTACAGACCATAGGGGCTATGCAATTTGTGTACTCCCACAGACAACCAAGCCTGGGGCATTTTCTACTTTCCACTGGCCACAGTCCCCCCTCTCTTGGTTTAATAACTGTTGTCCCAATGATCTTTTTAGCAGTCTGAAAGGAATGATCCTTCCAAATGACCACAAATGTAAAGAGCATTCTTCCCACTGACTATCACACTAATGCATAGTGAATTGTAGATATATTAATTAATAGCAGGGGTTCCCTGAGCCAGGAAAGTCATTTCCAAGGTTCATCAATGTTGAAAGAGTTGAGAAAGAAATGAATGTAAATGTGTTCCGAAACGCGGCAGCATGCACCAATGCCACACACTTTAGTAGCGGTCCTTTATTTTTACAGTGCAAATGTTCAAAAAGAGTTTGTGGCCGGAGTTCAACCTTAATTTTGCATGAAGTAGGCAATGGTTAGAACCTCTATCAGTTTATTCTTTGAGGTCTTTGTCATTGATGGACATCTACCTGACCTATACCAACCAATCATTTGCTTCTCCCACTCCTTCAACCATTATTATCACCAGAATTGTTGTGACTTACCTCGAAGACACATTCGGACAAAATGGGTGGTCGGGCCTCGAATTGCCTCTCGACACAAGGACTGGTTTGTTTGCCTCCAGAATTGTTGTGACTTACCTCGAAGACACATTCGGACAAGATGGGTGGTCAGGCCTCATATTGACCTGGGCACCCTACTACAACTTTATTGGTGACATCACCTACCATCTAACTTTCCATTGGTGGTTGGGGACATGCAGGCCATTGTTCTTGGTCCAGCTTGCTCAGGCATTATTCAGAAATGAGAGATCACAAAGCTGTAATGCAATCATGGATAGAATTGACTCTCGGCACAAGGACTGGCTTGTTTGCCTTCAGATTTGCTGTGACTTACCTCGAAGACATATTCGGACAAGATGGGTGGTCGGGCCTCGAATTGCCTCTCGACACAAGGACTGGCTTGTTTGCCTCCAGAATTGTTGTGACTTACCTCGAAGACATTTTCGGACAAGATGGGTGGTCAGGCCTCATATTGACCTGTGCACCCTACTACAACTTTACTGGTGACATCATCTACCATCTAACTTTCCATTGGTGGTTGGGGACATGCAGGCCATTGTTCTTGGTCCAGCTTGCTCAGGCATTATTCAGAAATGAGAGATCACAAAGCAGTAATGCAATCATGGATAGAATTGACTCTCGGCACAAGGACTGGCTTGCTTGCCTTCGGATTCATGAACTCGCTCCAGCTTTTTTGTGAACTAAAGGCTACTGAACAAATGTTATTGCACTCAGTTGGTGGCACTGGCGTTTGATACTGGCTTCAGTGCCAAGACAAAGCTCAGAACTTGCAGTGCAATGACTGCCACTTCATACGGCAATACCGTGCCAGCTGAATCTGGCTCTCGCATTGAGCCATTCTCCGTCCCCATTAAGGCATCCTAAAAAAAAACTTAGCGTTCTTTCATACAAAATCAGCATGCATTTAATTGCCAATACTGTACTCCTTTATGCCTTGCATGTTAAAGAGACCCTGACACATTAAAATGTTTTAATCCCGGCACACGGCTATAAAGTTGAAGGCCCATATACCTTGCCTGCTTGTAGGCAGGTGCAGTCTGTATTCTCCACTGCAGGTGGCGCGTGACCACAGTGGCAGATGGGGGAGGAGGTTGAGAGGAACAAGGTTTCTCTCTGACTTCCTCGGGCACCTGGGGCAGTGATCCAGTTGGATGCTTGTGCCCTATGTGACCTTGGCAGCCATCTTGAGTCAGGCAGAGTCTCTTGAAGACTCTGACCCCTGGGTTTGGCGCACTTTATGCTTATAGCTAGTGTAGGGACCTGTTCCTTGTCTGTCAGGGACAGTGGAATGGAAAGGTTCCAGAGGAGTAGGGAGAGAGCAGGGACCATGTCTACGCTCTCAGGAAGCTTCCCCTTTGGGATGGATTGGCTAGGTCGCATTCCACTCCTCGTGGCAGGCGCTGTTATCCTTGGGTCCTCAGACAACTGTCTTACCGCTGAATAGTTGGTGAACCTTCCCCCTCGGGCCTGATTGTACTTGTTGAACTTCTATATCATTTTTGGAAAAATTGAACTTTTACTGCCCACCACACCACGCTGCACCTGCCCAACATGCTGCCCATGCCTTGTAACTTTGCTGCATTGATCTGGTCACCCAAAGTCTTCTTGGAGACCAACACTTCCAGAAATGTCCATCATCCCCCCACAGCTAGCACTGGTTCCTCCCTCTAAACCTCATATCACTACTGTATCCTACAGGCTAGAGGAGGAACCATTAAGAGTTGTGGGGGACAACAGAGAAAATTGTACATACCTATTGATCAAAGACAACCTTTCTCAAACTTTTCAACATGGAGAAACCCTTGAAATAACTATACGGTCTTAGGGAACCCCTGCTAATAGGTTTTATATCTACAGCTGATGGAACATTAGTGTGAGGTCACTGGGAAGAATGTTCCTTAGATTTGGGGTCATTAGGAAGAATACCCCTTAGAGAAATTGCTCGTGGAACCCCTAGCAACCTCAAGTGGAACCCTACGGTTCATTGAAACTGTGGTGGAGAATGACTGATCTAAGGCAATAAAATGATAAAGGTAATTATAAAAATGATCTCCAGGCAACAGCTAAATACACAGATGAAATCCACGCAAGGGGGTTTGTATTCTGTTCATCCAGTTCTGTGATTCACACAGCTGAGCCACACCATACAACCCTACCTGGAAGGAAACCTGATTCTCTCTGTTGCAGTTAGGTAACACTTAAAGGTCTTGTCCCTATCCCCATCTATTACTGCCCTAGGCAACACAAACATCGTGTACCCCCCACCCACCCCCAGCCACTATCTCCCCTCCCCCAGGCCAGGCTTCTTCTCCCATCCACGGCCAGCACCCTCCACTCTACTCTCCCTGGATCCCCGCACAGACAATGGGCAGAGCTGAGCTCCGGACGCTCCCAGGCAGCACTCACCGATCAGCGGAGGCTCCTTCCTCTCTACGGGCTCCAGCCTGTGTGTGCCCTGCAGATCCGGCCCTGCAGATCCGGTTGGCTCCCATGTAGCGGAGACTGCTGCAAGCAAGCAAGCATGCCTGCACACATAATGGCTCTCATGTGCTACTGCCAGGGGGTGGCGCAGCCCCCCTGAAAAATGCCACCCAAGGCCTTGCGGAAATTACACCCCTGTCAGTGGTAAATGGTTTGTCTCATCCCTGAGCTTCTTTTGAAAGACAACAGATTTACTGGCCAGATCACCAGATATAAAAAATGAAAACAGCAGAAAATAAGCCTAAAAATGAAAACAAATGCAGCTGCATCATCTAAGAAATGGTAAGCTGCGATATATTACCTTTTTGAGTGTTGGGTTTATTTCCACTTTAACCACCTCCCGTCCGGGCCGTTGTATATAAACGGCCGGACGGTGGCAGTGCAGGGTCAGGTGGCCGTTTTAAAAACAGACTCCCCACCCCCTGCTTGTGCGCGCTCCCTGGGGCACAGCGGAACACCGATCGTCGTACGGGACCTCTGTGTGAGGTCCCGATCATGTGATCACTGATTGGCCAATCAGTGATCACATGCAGAGTAGTAAGCAAGATGTCACTTCTGACATCATTGCTTACTACGTACGAAATCTGTGAATGATCACAGAGATCACATGGTACAAGGCTATTCACAACAGCCTTGTACCATGTGACAAGGTGTGACCATCACAGCTCACATAGTAGTTCTCAATGGCTGCATGAATTCAGCCAGACAGGAGAAATTATTGTTTTTACAGCCTTTATGGGTGTAAAAGCAATCAGTGTAAAAAAAAAAAAATCTTCATCACCCCCCACAAGTAGTACAGTGTCACCATGGTGACACTGTACTGCTAGGGTGACAGTATGTAAAAAAAATAAAAAATAAATAATAATATAAAAAAATAAAATAAAAATGTAAAAAAAATGTTTAAAAATGATAATTTTTGGTTATAAACTAATTTGGGTTATTTTTTTTTCACTAAAAAGATAACGGAATAAATTGTGGCCAAGATTTATGACAAAATATTATTTATTTGAAAAATTTTATAAGAATAAACACTTTTTTTCAAACTTTTTGGACATTTTCATTTACATAGCAAAAAAAATAAAAAATCCCAGTGGTGAATAAATACCACCAAAATAAAGTTTTATCTGTCTCAAAAAAAGCTAAAAAATTCATATGGGTACAGTGTTGCATGACTGCGCAATTGTCATTCAAAGTGTGATAGCACTGAAAGCTGAAAATTGGCCTGGACTGGAAGGGGGTGAAAGTGTCCGGACAGGAAGGGGGTGAAAGTGTCCGGACTGGAAGGGGGTGAAAGTGTCCGGACTGGAAGGAGGGGAAAGTGTCCGGACTGGAAGGGGGGGAAAGTGTCCGGACTGGAAGGGGGGGAAAGTGTCCGGACTGGAAGGGGGGGAAAGTGTCCGGACTGGAAGGGGGGGAAAGTGTCTGGACTGGAAGGGAGGGAAAGTGTCCGGACTGGAAGGGGGGGAAAGTGTCCAGACTGGAAGGGGGGAAAGTGTCCGGACTGGAAGGGGGTGAAAGTGTCCGGACTGGAAGGGGGGGAAAGTGTCCGGACTGGAAAGGGGGTGAAAGTGTCCGGACTGGAAGGAGGGGAAAGTGTCGGGACTGGAAGGGGGGGAAAGTGTCCGGACTGGAAGGGGGGGAAAGTGTCTGGACTGGAAGGGGGGGGGAAGTGTCCGGACTGGAAGGGGGGGAAAGTGTCCGGACAGGAAGGGGGAGAAAGTGTCCGGACTGGAAGGGGGTGAAAGTGTCCGGACAGGAAGGGGGTGAAAGTGTCCGGACTGGAAGGGGGTGAAAGTGTCCGGACTGGAAGGAGGGGAAAGTGTCCGGACTGGAAGAGGGGGAAAGTGTCCGGACTGGAAGGGGGGAAAGTATCCAGACTGGAAGAGGGGGAAAGTGTCCGGACTGGAAGGGGGTGAAAGTGTCCGGACTGGAAGGGAGGGAAAGTGTCCGGACTGGAAGAGGGGGAAAGTGTCCGGACTGGAAGGGGGTGAAAGTGTCCGGACTGGAAGGGGGGGAAAGTATCCAGACTGGAAGAGGGGGAAAGTGTCCGGACTGGAAGGGGGTGAAAGTGTCCGGGACTGGAAGAGGGGGAAAGTGTCCGGACTGGAAGGGGGTGAAAGTATCCGGACTGGAAGGGAGGGAAAGTGTCCGGACTGGAAGGGGGGGAAAGTGTCCAGACTGGAAGGGGGGGAAAGTGTCCGGACTGGAAGGAGGGGAAAGTGTCCGGACTGGAAGGGAGGGAAAGTGTCCGGACTGGAAGGGGGGGAAAGTGTCCAGACTGGAAGGGGGGGAAAGTGTCCGGACTGGAAGGGGGTGAAAGTGTCCGGACTGGAAGGGGGGGAAAGTGTCCGGACTGGAAGGGGGTGAAAGTGTCCGGACTGGAAGGAGGGGAAAGTGTCCGGACTGGAAGGGGGGGAAAGTGTCCGGACTGGAAGGGGGGGAAAGTGTCCGGACTGGAAGGGGGGGAAGTGTCCGGACTGAAAGGGGGGGAAAGTGTCCGGACAGGAAGGGGGAGAAAGTGTCCGGACTGGAAGGGGGTGAAAGTGTCCGGACTGGAAGGGGGAAAGTGTCCGGACTGGAAGGGGGGGAAAGTGTCCGGACTGGAAGGGGGGGAAAGTGTCCGGACTTGAAGGGGGGGAAAGTGTCCGGACTGGAAGGGGGGGAAAGTGTCCGGACTGGAAGGGGGGGAAAGTGTCCGGACTGGAAGGGGGGGGGGGGAAAGTGTCTGGACTGGAAGGGGGGGGAAAGTGTCCGGACTGGAAGTGGTTAAGGTATCGGCTGAGTGGAATGTATCAGTTCATAGGAAGAATTGTTCATTTTTTATCTTTGAGATGAAGATGGGTTCTCATTAGGCGAGTAGGGATGACATAAAGATATGCAGACTATGGCACGTGTTTGCGGTCACTGGTGCGTTCCGTCATTTCATCGCGTTCCAAAGTTTGAAAATTCTCTCCGGCTAAACTTTTACCCGAGGCACCAAAGGGACCACTCTCCATACAAGAGGAACATTAAATAAGTCTGCAGTATTTCCGCTCTGTCCCCCCCTTATGAGCTCGGGGAATTCTCTACTACAAGTTTTATATTTATCTATGAGCAAACTTGGTGATAAAATGATGCTGGGTCGGCTGTAAGTCAAAGCACAAGGCAAACACCATTTTTACATCTTATTTAAAGGGAGCCTGTCAGCCATTTTTAACTTTCATCTAAATATAAATATATATTCCAAAGCTGGAAGGGATAGAAATTCACTTTATGTGCATGAAATGACTTTGAAAACCCAGTTATTATTCTGTAAAAGTAGCGGTGGCATCATCACTGTGCTGTACATAGCCTGTGCAGAGAACAGAGCTGTGGGAGGGGCCAAGCAGGCTCCACCCACTACATGAGACTTCGGGAGGGGGCTGAGACAAGACCTGAGAGAGAGCGGCAGTGTATTACCACCCTGGTATGGGGTGTGTGTGTGCTGCATTGGGTGACACCTACCGCACGGGGGTGACACCGGACCCGGTCCACGAAAAGGTAAGTTGTAAAGCAAGCCGACGATCCCCGCAGGATGGAGCTCCCCAACCCGCAGATCCGATCCATCCTGCGGGGATTGTCGGTTTGCTTTACAACTTACCTTTTCGTGGAGCGGGTTCGGTGTCACCATGTATTGGTGGCATGCCAACGATCCCCACAGGATTGATGGGATCTGCGATCCGATCCATTATGCTCAATCCACAGATCCGATCCATCCTGCGGGGTTCGTCGGAGGGGGTGTCACCAAGTGTTATTGCACCGGGTGACACCAACCCTAGGGATGCCCCTGAGTGTAAGTGCTGTCATATAGAGGTAGGTGGTAGTGGCAAGAGTGATCCTCGGCCCCGATTCAGATCTGACCCAGAAATGACCATGGTGTCACCTAGAGTCAGCATTTACATCCTGGACTGAGATAATACAATCATGTAATGATTCGCAAATGTCTAACACAGACCAGCCCCTGCTGCAGCCTCCCACATTGTGACTTACTACAAAGTTACCATGTTGTCCTCTAACCACTGGAGGAGATTGAGGAAATGGCTCTGCCTTCCTGCGGCAGACTGATGACATCATCTCAGATCAGGCAAAGTAAATTTCTAGAGTACAGGGATAGCCTTTTAACCACCTCCCGTCCGGCCTATGTATATAAACGGTCGGACGGTGGCAGTGCAGGGTCGGGTGACTGTTTATAAATGGCCTCCCTCCGCTCCCTGCTTGTGATCGCTCCCTGGGAGCGCGCAGCAGCGCGATCCGGTGCCTGCTGTGTCCGGAGGACACAGCGGAACACCGATCGCTGTACGGGACCTCTGTGTGAGGCCCCAGTCATGTGATCACTGATTGGCCAATCAGTGATCACATGAAGAGTAATAAGCAAGATGTCACTTCCGATATCATTGCTTACTACGTGTGAAATCTGTGAATGATCACAGAGATCACATGGTACAGGGCTATTCACAATAGCCTTGTACCATATGACAAGCTGTGACCAATCACAGCTCACACAGTATTTCTCAATGGCTGCAAGAGAGAAGGAGGGGAAAGTGTCCGGACTGGAAGGGGGGGAAAGTGTCCGGACTGGAAGAGGGGGAAAGTGTCTGGACTGGAAGGGGGGGAAAGTGTCCGGACAGGAAGGGGGTGAAAGTGTCCGGACAGGAAGGGGGTGAAAGTGTCCGGAGTGGAAGGGGGGAAAGTGTCCAGACTGGAAGGGGGTGAAAGTGTCCGGACTGGAAGTGGGTGAAAGTGTCCGGACTGGAAGGGGGGGAAAGTGTCCAGACTGAAAGGGGGGGAAAGTGTCCGGACTGGAAGGGGGTGAAAGTGTCCGGACTGGAAGGGGGTGAAAGTGTCCGGACTGGAAGGGGGTGAAAATGTCCGGACTGGAAGGGGGTGAAAGTGTCCGGACTGGAAGGGGGTGAAAGTGTTCGGACTGGAAGGGGGTGAAAATGTCCGGACTGGAAGGGGGTGAAAATGTCCGGACTGGAAGGGGGGGAAAGTGTCCGGACTGGAAGGGGGTGAAAGTGTGCGGACTGGAAGGGGGGGGAAAGTGTCCGGACTGGAAGGGGGGGGGAAAGTGTCCGGACTGGAAGGGAGGAAAGTGTCCTGACTGGAAGGGGGTGAAAGTGTCCGGACTGGAAGGGAGGAAAGTGTCCGGACTGGAAGGGGGTGAAAGTGTCCGGACTGGAAGGGGGGGAAAGTGCCCGGACTGGAAGGGGGGGGAAAGTGTCCGGACTGGAAGGGGGAAAGTGTCCGGGCTGGAAGGGTGGGGGGGGGGGGGGGGGGGTGGGGGGTGAAAGTGTCCGGACTGGTAGGGGGTGAAAGTGTCCGGACTGGAAGGGGGTGAAAGTGTCCGGACTGGAAGGGGGGGAAAGTGTCCGGACTGGAAGGGGGTGAAAGTGTCCAGACTGGAAGGGGGTGAAAGTGTCCGGACTGGAAGGGGGTGAAAATGTCCGGACTGGAAGTGGTTAATGACAAAACTTGGAGCAGTTTTGAAAATCGATACCGTTGTACATTTGTGACATGTCAGGAATTAATTCACGAAGACCTGAAAGTCACTGAAAAGTCTAGCGATAAACAAACAGCTATGATTTTTTTTTTTTACAAACCGCGAGTTCATCATTTAAAGTCATGGCTATTTTCTAAGCCTGAACATCAACTTATTCATCCCCCCCCCCCAAAATATATTGTTGAGCTCCTCCGTTCCCTTCTCGAAGAATAAATGAATGCATCTGTTACCCTTCCTAACAGATGTCTCTGTGCGAAGGTACAGTAAGCCCCACTGTGAGAACGCATTAAAACTATGGAGCTTCCCGCTCAAGGCCATGCTATGCACATATGAACACTGCAGTATTGAAAGGTATTAAATGGTGCCGTATATCAAATCTATGCACATGTCACCTCGACTAACCAACTGGGAAGATCTCACTTCAGAAGGATATTTTTCCTCGCTTCTGAAGGCCAAATTCAACTTTTTTTCACATTTTATACCTGTTACGGGTCTACTCTGCTTCCTCCATTTCCTCTGTAAAATATTATTTACCTTCCATTCGAGCTTTTGGATTCTTCTTTGTTGTATTCGGGTCCTGCCTGCTTTTATTTATTTATTTCAGGTACTTATATAGCGCCATCAGGGGCGGACTGACAACTCATGGGGCCCCCGGGCAATAGGGGATCATGGGGCCCCTGTGTCCTTGCCCAAACATAAAAGCCTATGGAAAAGGTACCAGGGTCATCTTATGGGGCCCCTTACTGACCCTGGGCCCTCGGGCAGTGCCCGAGTTTCCAAATGGTCAGTCCACCCCTGAGCGCCATCAATTTAAGCAGTGCAATATTAAACTCTTTCCCTGTCCCAGGGGTCGCCAGACTATGACCCATGGGCCACATCTGGCCCTCTAGATGATTTTATCTGGCCCACAGATAGGATCAGTGCTTTATCCTCAAGGTGCACTGAATGAAGATAAAAGTCCCTAACCAGGGGTGGACTGACAACTCATGGGGCCCCCGGGCAACAGGGGATCATGGGGCCCCTGTGTCCTTGCCTAAACTCAAAAAAAAAGCCTATGAAAAATGTACCAGGGGCATCTCATGGGGCCCCCTACTGACCCTGGGACCTCGGGCAGTGCCCAAGTTTCTAAATGGTCAGTCTGCCCCTGTCCCTAACCCTCAACTCATGGGGCCCCCGGGCAATAGGGGATCATGCGGCCCCTGAGTCCTTGCCCAAACTCAAAAAAAGCCTATGAAAAATGTACCAGGGGCATCTCATGGGGCCCCCTACTGACCCCGGGCCCTCGGGTAGTGCCCGAGTTTCCAAAAGGTCAGTCCGCCCCTGTCCCTAACCCCCAAGGGGTGTACAATCTAAGGTCCCTATCTCACATTCATACGTACACATACTAGGGACAATTTAGACAGGATCCAGTTAACCTATCAGCATGTCTTTGGAGTGTCGGAGGAAACCGGAGTACCCAGAGGAAACCCACGTAGGCACAGGGAAAACATGCAACCTCCAGGCAGGTGGTGCCGTGGTTGGCATTCAAACCAATGACCCTAGTCCCTAGCCCTCAAGGGGCGTACAATCTAAGGTCCCTAACTCACATTCATACATACACATACTACGGCCAATTTAGACAGGAGCCAATTAACCTACCAGCATGTCTTTGGAGTATGGGAGGAAACCGGAGGACCCCCATGCAGGCACAGGGGGAGAACATACAAACTCCAGGCAGGTGGTGCTGTGGCTGGGATTTGAACCAACAACCCGAGTACTGCCAGGTGGAAGTGCTGACCATTTAGCCACTGTGCTGCTTTTAAAAACTTTTACATGGAGCCCTTGGGTGGAAAAAAAAATGGCCAACCAAACATGGTGGCGAAACCCACATGGAAGAAAAATATATTTTAAATATGTTTAAAAAATATTCTTTCCAAATATATTGACATATATTTTAAATACTACAATGTTGGTCGTATTCAATATATTTCAAAAAGAAGTCAAAGATAGAACTTCCATAGTGTAGTATTTAGATATTTATAGATAAAAAAAATTCAAAAAAGCCAACTGGCTACTCACATAAAAACAAGGGTCAGAGACCCATCAAGCATATACTGTGTAACCCACAGTCAGGTGTACATACGAGGAGTCCCAAGATGTTGATTGTCATCCATACGGAATGACGTCACCGCGCTCTATACCTACGCATTGCGTCACGCTACCCACGTGACTTCTTCAGGGCTATCCACCCACACTTTGCCCATATGTGGTTTAATAGGTGTGCAAGTAATTCCTATTTTACTGTTCAGCCACAAGTCCATATTGTTTCCACTGTGGCTCTTCACCCTTGCTTTTGCTATGCCCCTATTACATTATAGCACTTGAAACAGGCCACCATTTTTTTTCAAGGCTCTCCATGTAGTTTAGGACCCTTACAGCATCCTAGGCATTAACTGAGATACAGCAATTCAAAACGTCTCTGTGTCACCAAAAGCTTCCACAACCTAACCTCTTTTCAGAAGCGATAAACTAGATAGAAGATGTTTACTGGCGCAGGGCAGACCCAACTGGTATGGGTGGGCAGACCCAACTGGTATGGGCGGGCAGACCCAACTGGTATGGGCGGGCAGAGCCAACTGGTATAGGCGGGCAGACCCAACTGGTATGGGTGGCAGACCCAACTGGTATGGGTGGGCAGACCCAACTGGTATGGGTGGGCAGACTGAACTGGTATGCGCGGGCAGACCGAACTGGTATGGGTGGGCAGACCGAACTGGTATGGGTGGGCAGACCCAACTGGTATGGGTAGGCAGACTGAACTGGTATGGGTGGGCAGACTGAACTGGTATGCGCGGGCAGACCCAACTGGTATGGGTGGGCAGACCCAACTGGTATGGGTGGGCAGACTGAACTGGTATGGGTGGGCAGACTGAACTGGTATGCGCGGGCAGACCCAACTGGTATGGGTGGGCAGACCCAACTGGTATGGGCGGGCAGACCGAACTGGTATGGGTGGGCAGACTGAACTGGTATGCGCGGGGCAGACCGAACTGGTATGGGTGGGCAGACCCAACTGGTATGGGTGGGCAGACCCAACTGGTATGGGTGGGCAGACTGAACTGGTATGGGTGGGCAGACTGAACTGGTATGCGCGGGCAGACCCAACTGGTATGGGTGGGCAGACCCAACTGGTATGGGTGGGCAGACTGAACTGGTATGGGTGGGCAGACTGAACTGGTATGCGCGGGCAGACCCAACTGGTATGGGTGGGCAGACCCAACTGGTATGGGCGGGCAGACCCAACTGGTATGGGTGGGCAGACTGAACTGGTATGGGTGGGCAGACCCAACTGGTATGGGTGGGCAGACCCAACTGGTATGGGCGGGCAGACCCAACTGGTATGGGCAGGCAGACCCAACTGTTATGGGTGCGAAGTGTTTGGTTCATAATGGAAGTGGAGGTTAACATCACCCATCCACAATACAATAAACCTTTAACAAGTGTGTCTAGCACTGCTCTTTCGTAGGAAATTGTTTGCTCCAAGGTTAGAGTGCCCCTTAAGTGGGAAAAAATATACATTGCATGGGAGGAAATCTTGCTATTAGCAAGAAAAACACCTAATTTAATGACAGTCTGTCGGTAAGTTGACTATAAAACAATGCAGATGGTTCTCCTCTAATGAGAAAATATTCTTTACGTTTGTATAGCACAGTGTGATTCACAACTAATCAATATTTACTTCTGCTTACAAATCTATTAATGGCCATCTATTTGTTTTCTTGGACTTCCCTCTCGCTGTGCATCTGTTCGGATTACAGGGCCATGTTAAAGGGAAACTCTGCAAATCACTTTTTAAAATGGGCATGTGCCGCAACGCAGTTATCATTTCCTAAACTGAAACTCATTTTTAGGGATGAGGTTTGGGTTCGCTGCTACCATGGGTTGCTTATATTTTCCTGGGGGCTGCCCTTCCCCTCCTGTCCCTTGCCAAAGTCTTCTCCATCAAGATCAATAACACAACCATCAGT